TACCTCCAGCAAGCCTCCTGCCGTTCAACGGTGTCCTATCGAATTCTGATTACGCATTCCCGTTCATATCAAAACGATGGGCTGTGGGATGGTTCCCATAATTATCAAGAGCATATATATATATATATATATATATATGAACATGTATAAAGTATTGCTCCCTTAAAACTGCACAGTTGTAAGAGATTATTATGTAATGGTATTAGTAAAAATATAAAATAAAGTGTCAACATTCGTAAATAAGCATTGCATTTGGGATATCAAACAATTACTTCGGTACGAAAAGTGTTGTCGGCCTAGTGACTGATCCATCCGATTGAGATACATCACTCGACATTGAAACTCGATTCGCAATGGTGCGAGAACAATCTGAAACCGGTCTAATAGGCACAAACTTCACAGGAGCCAGATGTTCTACGGGACGTGCAGGACGAAACTCAAATCCACCAGAGTTTCGACCCGATAAAACTCCCAGAGTTCCAGATGATTCGCAAGCACGGACTAGCATGTCATGTAGGACTGATTGATGTCGACAAGCCTCGTCTACTATACATTCCGCACAGGCGGTCAATTCTCGATCCAATACCGTTGCATTCATTTGCGTGTCGGACATCAATTCGACCAACCTTGTACCTGCCTCTCCACCTGCGGGAGTTAGAGCGGCCGCGGCTAAGACATCACAGAATCGTATCAGATTGACCTGACGTCGAACCGGCATGCCCATGCTTTGCAAAGCCGCATTCAACAACGCTCCGATCCGATTTTTGCCCAATGCGTTTGCAGTGAACCAAGTCACAGTCTGATCCGTGTTGGTTTTCCCAGCTAGGTGAGGAGAGCGTTCGGGTTGTAAATAGAACGGTGTATTCAGACTGCACGCAGATGCCGGGCGACGTGCGCAGAACAATTCAAACAACCGAACCGGACATCGATCCATATTATCTTCCCGGGCAGGAAGTTGTGCATCCGTGTATTTTGGCAACCGCGATGTTTGCTTTCGAGCGTCTTTTCCACTAGATCTGGAACGCGAGAAAAAAGCCAATATTAATATGATCAAATAGGCTGAAGGAAACAACGTTCATTTGATAAAGTAACCGTTCGTGTGTCCAGGGAAACCCTTCATCAGCAAAACAAAACAACTGATCAAATATAGTTTTAGTTTCAGTCTGAATAAACATTAACCATGCATTAGCGTGTGCCGGTTTTGGTACTGTCTTTTGGCTGCCCATTGGGATGAAGATTTGGAGAAAGGAAAAATTGAAAGTAGGATTAAGGAGAAAATTTAGAATCTCATTGCACTAATTTTGCAGAGAAATTGACTAGATGAACGAGCGCCACTGTTTACAACACCCAGCCATATCACTCAGTGTCTCTAACCATCGGTTACGATCATCCCGAAGTGCCCGGTCAGGGAGTCTAACGGGACCTATGTGACCCAGACTCCTGGTTAAGGTTTTCATACCCTCGCGCCAGGTCTTAGCTTGGCCAACCTTGACTTTGTTGCACCCACTACTTGCCTAGGTGAACATCGCTCGCAGTGGTAACTTGCGTAACACATGCCCCAACCAACGTAACCTATGGAGGTCGACCAATTGCTCCTGTGGGCGATCGCATTTACCTAAAACTCTGCGCCTAACCTCAGCATTGTTCGTCCGGTTGCCCCACCAGA